ACTATACTCATCCCCACCTCATATACTGCAACACATTTTCCCCTCCAAGATCTGGCCATAGTCATTTCACAAGAGAAATGAAAAAAAAAAAAAATGATTAAAAGGAAACAGGACAGACAGTGAGTAAGCCATGAACAACTGCCCGAAGAACTGTAAAAATCCAAGATCATTTCCATGTGTTTCAATTAAGGTTGCCACGGGGGGTGGATAAAGAACTGAAGAGAATATTGATAAAGTCGTATCCATTCCCTGCTTTTGTCAGTGTAGTTAGTTAGAGCCAAAGAATAAGGTACAATAACTGGGGAACTTGTAAAGTTTTAACACATAAAAATATCTGGTATAAATCCAAAGCAAACAGTCTAATTTATAATCCTATCAGCCAATCAGACAATATTAAAAGGCACTTTATTCACACATTTTTAACATAAACAGAAAGAAGGACTAAGGTTGTATAACAGTAGTCGTCTTTCAAAGATAAGATAACAAATTAAATGTTTTTCCCTTTCTTATACATCAATTACATTCTATTCTACACAGTTTAGAAATGACTGGTAATAAGAAAAAAAACAGATTTGGTAAACATGCCTCGGCAGTTAAAATCTACAAATCAAGCTAACTATCAAAATGTTGTAAATAACATTTATAGTGTTAGCAAATTTTTCAGGCTATCGTACATTTTTCTACAAAGTCATTTCCTCCATTAAAAGGTATTATAGGTTGAACTGTGTCACCCCAAAATTCATATGTTGAAATCCCAACCCTTTCGGAATGTGACCTTGTTTGTAATTAGGGTATTGGCAGATGTAATTTTGTTAGGATGAGCCCTAATCCAATGCGACCCACGTCCTTATAAAAAGAGGAAAGTTGGACACAGAGAGATACACACAGAGAAAACTTCACATGGCGATGAAGGCAGGGATCGGGATGACATTTCTACAAGCCAAGGAACGCTAAAGATGGCAAGCAAATCTCCAGAAGCTCGGGGGGGAGGCGCGGAACATCCTCCCTCCCAGCCTTCAGAAGGAACCAACCCTGCTGACTCCCGGATCGTGGACTTCTAGCCTCCAGAACTGTTAGGCAACACAACAAATTTTTGTTGGTTAAGCCACCCAGGTTGTTGAACATTTTTACAGCAGCCCTAACAAAGTAATATAAAAGGTTTCAAAGCATAGCTCATGAGACATAAAACTGACCACATACATTTTTCCTAACAATCTCTTTTGCTGAATAGTGCTTTGCAAAATCAATATATCCTCCATATGCTTCTCCTCCCCTTCCCACCCCCATTACTGCAGCTATACAAGGCCATGTCCATCAATTTTCTCCAAGGGAATGTACAAAGAAGTGGCATATGGCATATTGAGATCTGGCCCCTAAGATCATGGCACGCCTCCTCCATACTCTCTTGTTCTCCATCAGCTCACATTTGGACATGGTGACCCACCTTCAACCATACTGGTGAGGTTCATAACATAAGGAGCAGCAGAGCTACTCTGCAGAAGGAATCTGGGTCTCTGACAGTATGGGAATACTCACTTAGAATGTTAGGTGAAAGTAAAATAGCTCTGTTCCTTAAACCACTATATTATTGGGTTTCTCTGCTATAACAGGTTAGTCTTTCGCCCTAATAGAGCGTCAGGGGAACTAAAATATTTCAAACACATGCAATAAAGCAGTATACAGAAAATCAGGTAGATCTCTGAAACATTAACTATGGCCGAATGGGAAAAGTTTATGTGCACATATAGTAAACTGAACTACTATTACAGCTTCAAATTTGAGACAATGCATTTCATGATCTTGGTAGTTGTTAAACTACAATGTAAACCCTTTGGGAAATGTACCAATTCTTATTCTTAAAGATATTTTTAAATTTTTTTATTGATTTTTAGAGAGAGAGGAAGGGAGAGGGAGAGAGACAGAAAACATCGATGTGAGAGCAAAACATTGGCTGCCTCCTGCACGCCCCCTACCTGGGGTCTGCATGTGCCCTGACCAGGAATCAAACCAGCAACCTTTTGGTGCATGGGATGACATTCAACCAACTGAGTACACCAGCCAGGGCTTCTTTCATTTTTTAAATTTCAAAATTTTTCAGTGAGATTAACTTAAGTTAATAATATTGCTATGACTTTACATATATTCTAAAGGTACAAATACCGCCAAAACCGGTTTGGCTCAGTGGATAGAGCGTCGGCCTGCAGACTAAAAGGTCCCAGGTTCGATTCCGGTCAAAGGCATGTACCTGGGTTGCGGGCATATCCCCAGTAGGAGATGTGCAGGAGGCAGCTGATCGATGTTTCTCTCTCATCGATGTTTCTAACTCTCTATCTCTTTCCCTTCCTCTCTGTAAAAAATCAATAAAATATATTTAAAAAAATAAATAAATAAAGGTACAAATACCAATGTAACATAGAAAAAGTTTCACACTCCTCCTCTAATCCCCTCTTTAGGGAGAGCCAGTATGAAGCTGGGAAGGTATCCTTCCAGACTTAGATGTTTTTTTAAATAATACGGTAGTCAAATTTTAAATTTTAAAACCAGAGAGGTTTTAATTTTGGTTTGTGATACACACCTGAAGTCAAAGCCAAAACACGTTCTAATAAGCACATAGAGCCTCTGAATTTCATTACTCTGGAAGAAGAAAAGTATTTTTCAAAGATGCTAATGACCAGCAATATGGCCTATTTCTTGTTCTTAAATGTTTCCCCAAATGTCATTACATGAAACTGGAATATGTGTGACTAGGAGGAAGTTCCTGGAGGACAATCCAACCCTTCTCCATTACTTCATTCTACTGTCGATGAACCATAATGTCTATTTCTGTCTGGTCAAAACAGAAAATTACTCTTCTGGAACTTGGGACGTTTGCCTTTTATTAAGTTACAGGTTTTTTCCAGAGTTAAGTATCCAAATCCTATATGGACGCTTGTCTATCGGAAGACACTTTCTATCTAGTGAATTAAAGAAGAAAATGAGATTAAAACTATTCTCATTTAGTTATTCAGGGACCTTATTAACCTGTAACCATGAATAGAATCTACAATTCCAACTCATAGCGTGTGGGACACACACATGTTCCTGGATTCAAGCATGTGTTCCTATTTAAACTGCTGGAATGTATATAGGGCTCCACAAAGAGTGATAAATATTAGCAAATCTTCTAAGAATGAAGGTCCTTTATGACCACATATGCTGTGTTTTGATTCAGCTTTTAAAATGTCTGAGTCATACAAAGCTGAACCGTCTGCTTTTTACATTTATCTGCAAGTTAAAGAACAATGAAAAAAAAAATTCCTTCCACAAATATCATCTATTTGTCCCATCACGGCCAACCCAAGACAAATCTGAGATTTCTGCTCTGTCCTCTGTTTTCTTCCCCTTGTGGCAAGCCTGCCCTAGAGGAAGGCTGAGCATTCCGAAATGCCCAGGTATTAAGGACAAGTTGGATATTAACCAATGTCAGATACTGCCAAGTCAAAGGCTTCAGGCATAGTACATAAAACTTCAATAGCCTGACCCTAAAGCAGGGATGGAAAACTGTGGTCTGGCACATTCTATTTGGCCTACATAGCATTTTTAATTTTTTAAAAATTTTAAAGCCCTTTAGGATAGCGCCCCCCCCCCCCTTTTAAAAGAAGGTATTTCATCATATAGGATACTGTAGCTCACCTTGCACTATGAACCCCTCATATGTTATGTGCCAGGCAAATGTTTGGAGTATGAGCACCACATAAATTTTTCCACCTCTGAGCCTTCTTACATTCTGGGTCTTCGCCTAGAATGCCTTCCAACCCACCCAAGCCTACCTCTTCACATGGCTAACGTCCACTCTTCTGAAGACCTCAAGAAGTCCTTCCTAATCTCCTAAAGTCCCAGTTAAGTGCTTAATCCTCCATGGCCCCAGACTCTCCTGCTATTTCTGTGACGATATCACCAGACACCAGACTAATTCCTTTAGGGCAGGGATGATGCCTTGCTCATTTTGGTCTCTCCAGTGTGTAGCACACAGCAGGTGGTAAATAAATATTTTCAGAATGAAGAAATGGCAATATAAGCATCAGCTCTGAAAATATTTGCTTTTAATACTCTTGGCAGAGAATGCAGATGAATGATGAAGTTGACAAAAAAAAAAAAAGAAAGTAGATCACACAGAAGTCAAGAGAATAAAGGGCCTTGTAAAGGCCATGTCTGATTACACAGAGGTGTTTTCCCAAGGCTTGATGACCCTCTGCAGCAGTATTTAATCTCATCCATAGTTGCTGCTATATTTTCCCTCTTCCCTTCCCCTAAGGTACCCTACACACACTTTCTAGACCCCAAGAGCAAAGACACAAACACAATAAAGCCAAATAAGTAAAAAAAAAAAAAAAAAAAAACACATAAACTAGAATCAATTTCTCTGAAACAATAGGCATCTTCCCTTATATAAGACAGTTATTTTAAGAAACTGAGCTGATCAGAATTAGTCAACTGCTCTTCATAGTTTCTCATACTCATTGTTTAATCAGCTTCACTCCTATTTCCCTTCGCTATATGTGATGGCACACTGTCTTCATTGAAGACCAGAACTTTCAGAGGACACCCGGGGACAGAAGTGACACGGCTACCGATTGTGAGCAAGTAGGTCTAAAGGTACATCCCGCCCACAGTCATGCTTACTGGAAATGAGGAAAGCTGTGAGGGACCCCTCCGATGTTTGGGGAAGAGCAAAAAAAGGGAGCAGCAATAAAAGAAGATAATCAGAACAGTACACCTGGCAGCCCTCCTTGTCTCCAATTAAAAACCTCATTAGATTTGCCCAGAAGGAGCCTTTTTAGAATGGTTAAGGGACACACAGCATCCCACCCTTGCCTCGCCCTGAGCATCTCCGGCTATCTTATCAGGAAAGAACCTATTCCCTTTCACATGGAAGGGGAACGTTCAGGGGTTTCTATTGAGATGGGTATGGGTATATTTCTCCTTAATTATCACCAAGGCAGGAGTAAAAAGCAACTTACCTTTTGAAAAAAGTCTTCCCCACTTTTGCCTTTTCCTTCGGCAGCAGCTGTAAATAAAAATGTATACATTTAAAATCGTTCCTTTTTTTGCAACCTATGTATTCAAAAACTCCCAAGTATCAGGTAGGAGAATCCAGAGGTAAACAAGATGCCATTCTTGTTCTCCCAAACCTCAGTGTCTGCTAACAGGCCTCATCAGGGATATGAAAGGAATAAAGAGTAAAACACTAGTCCAAACAATTATACTTCCAGCTCCTCTTCCTGTCTGACAGACTCACACATCTCTGTTGTCACACATAGATGAAAGGAATCTCCTTTCATAGCTAAAGAACTATATGAACAAATGCTACCACCAATATAATCGGCTGCAGTGCTCTCAGCACTTCCTGTCTGTAATCAATCCCAGGCCTGAGGCTGCCTTTTCAACCGGGGCTCCGAGAACATGGCCTGCTGAGCTGGGTCAGTTTTATACTGTGCAATGACTATATTCTCTACTTGGATTTCTGTTGGCATTATATGCTACTTTAATTCACTCCTTCATTGGCTTATATAAAGAGGGGGAAAAACACATTAGAATTAAATGGTAATGGTAACGTCACAGACAACAATAAAACTTCATGTAAGATTAATTAAAAGGTCACTGTATTTGAACAGTCTTTTTATATCTAAGTGGTAGCCTATAAACACAGGACAAACCCAGCTCTCTATGTTCAAACATCTTAAGCTTCTGTGAACATTTTTTTTTTATCTGTGGAGGCAGAGGTGGGAAATGTGACTAAAGGGAGAGAGGGGATTTTATCTTGCTTGCAATAGCCTCAAAGTGCATCCTTCAGAGGATAGACACCAAAGGGGTCTCAGATTCCAGTGCAGAAGAACAGGGATTCACTGGAGAAGCCACCCGGGCCTGGACAAAGAAAGGAGCTGGAGCAGTAACTCCTGGAACTTATTAAAATGATTAAAGACCCAAGAAGTAAGGCAGGTCATTCTGTTTGGTGGAGGACTCAAAACTCAAAGAAATTATCTCTACCCTCAAGATAATAACAATATTATAAATTATTTTTTCGCAGGTTTAATGTCACACTTAAATATAAGACAAAACACCTACAATTTTGGGATATGTTTTTATCGATATGTTTTCATCTAAAAAAGAGAGCGCAGAGTACGGGTCTCTGTGCTTACCAAGGGCAATTCGAAGGAAAGTGTGAAAACAGTAGCTAAAAAGATAAAGAATTAAAAATTGTATTCTAATGTGTGGCAGGCTAAATAACACCCCCTAAAAATGTTCATGTCCCAATCTGAGGAACCTATCAATATGTTACCTTACATGGCAAAGGGTATTTTACAGATGTGATTAAATTAAGAATCTTGAGATAGGGAGATTATCCTAAATTATCCAGGTGGATCCAGTGAAATCACAGGGACCCTTACAAGAAGGAAGAAGAAAGCTCAGAGTCCAAAAAAGCAATGTGACAATAAAAAACATACAGAGAAGGGTGTGTGACGACAAACAAGAGAGGTGGAGAGGAGAAAGATACAGATATACTATGCTGCTGGCTTTGAAGATGGCAGAAGGGGCCATAAGCCAAGGACTGTCGGCAGCCTCCAATAGCTAGAAAAAGTAAGGAAATGGATTCTCCTTCAGAGCCTCTGCAGGGAGCACAGCTCTGCCAACACCTTGATGTAGCCCAATGAAACCCATTTTGGACTTCTGACCTCCAGAACATAAGGTAATAAATTAATGTTGTATGCCACTATATTTGTGGTAATTTGTTACAGCAGCAAAACACTAATACATAATGCCAATAGCATCTTAACTTTACTTTTTGCACAAATACACCATCAACAGCATGAATTGAGTGCACACATGGACGTGAGCATTTGAAGCACATATTTCCACAGAAAGATTTTTTGTAGTTAACTCTACAGATTCTGACTTTCTCTCCCTAACTTGGAAATGTATCAACATTAAAGCTTTTAAAAAAAAAACAAAAACATTAAGAGCCAATTTTAAGAACAAAAGCTTACTCTTTCTAAATAAACTAGCAAATGTGGTTGATCCTAGCTAAAGGGGGTCACCCAGGCAAGGTAAAACAGCAGTACCCAAAACTAATGATACAGACTTATTATTAAGTGCCTTGGAGGGACTTCAATTCTGCTACCTCTTGGGCTGTCATTATCTCTAAAGCTAAAAATAGTTTAAAGGGGTCTAATATATAACACAATTGCATGGCAATGAACACTACATACCAGGACACAACATTTTGAAAAAATTCTAGTGACATCAAGGAAACTCATCTTTGAAAAGAAATTTTAGAATCCAAGATATTTTCAAAAGCCTATGAAGAAGGAAGGCAGCTAATCACCCCTTTCACCCACACAGAACTCTTACACAACTTGGAATTCGTCAGTTAAGATTTCATGATACAACTATATTTTATTACAGAAACCTCCTTTAGGACACTTATTTTGTTCATGACAAACTCATTATGTCACAACCTTGAAATGTCCCCATCATTCCAAGTCTGAACAGACTTCATAGAATGGCCTTTCAACCCCAGAATGAATAAAAAGGGGGGAATTTCCTTAGTTAGATCCCAGCTATACTTAACTTTGTTCCAGAAAAACAACTAAGATTTAACCAGAAACTTGCACCTTTTAGCAACCTTATGATTTGAGGGGAGCCAAATGGCAAACTCTTTGGCACCAAAAATTGCTGTCCTTTTTTATGCCAAATGTGTATGTCTGAGAAACTCCAAATGTGAGCCTATTTTCCCCTAAATCCTGAGAAGTATCCATTTCCCAAGACCACAAGTGCCCTCGTAAAAGAATCTGGTTGGATTCTTGGTTAGATCACAGGTACAAACCATGGCTGGTCCCAGTCACTGGCACTTTGCCGGGAGTGTTCTTACCTAATTCCCAGGTTACCAGGTCTCCTGCCGGACTTTTACTGACCACACTCAAGCAAAGCTGTCAAGCCCAAAGAAGCCAATCAAGGGAGAATAATATTTCACCAGAGTATTCTCTCCCCACAGACAGAAATCCTTCTATGCTCAAATATGAAAGTGCAATTCTCAAACTTACTCTAAAATCTTTAATATCAAAATACACAACACTGAAGAAGTGAGAGACTGGGAGAAAGGAGCTTGGGGAACATTTTTTTTTTATAAACTTAGGTATTTTTTTTCTTTTCTCTTTTTCTTTATTAAGGTATTACATATGTGTCCTTATTGCCCCATTGCCCTCACACACCCCCACTCATGCTCTCACCCCCCTGGTGTCTGTGTCCATTGGTTGGGCTTATAAGCATGCATAAAAGCCCTTTGGTTGATCTCTTCCCCTTACCCCCACCCTCCCCTACCTTCCGAGGTTTGACAGTCTGATCGATGCTTCTCTGTCTCTGGATCTGTTTTTGTTCATCAGTTTATGTTGTTCATTATATTCCATAAATGAAAGAGAACATGTGATATTAATCTTTCTCTGATTGGCTTATTTCGCTTAACATAATGCTCTCCAGGTCCATCCATGCTGCTGCAAATGGTAAGAATTCCTTCTTTTTTATAGCAGCATAGTAGTCCATCATGTAAATGTACCACAGTTTTCTAATCCATTCATCTGCTGATGGGCACTTAGGCTGTTTCCAGATCTTAGCTATGGTGAACTGTGCTGCTATGAACATAGGGGTGTATATATCCTTTCTGACTGGTGTTTCTAGTTTCTTGGGATATATTCTTAAAAGTGGCATCACTGGGAGATCGGTCCATTTTTAGGTTTTTGCGGAAACTCCATACTGTTCTCCACAGTGGCTGCACCAGTCTGCATTCCCACCAGCAGTGCACAAGGGTTCCTTTTTCTCCACATCCTCGCCAGCACTTGTCGTTTGTTGATTTGTTGATGATAGCCATTCTGACAGGTGTGAGATGGTACCACGTTGTCGTTTTGATTTGCATCTCTCGGATGATTAGTGACTTTGAGCATGTTTTCATGTCTCTTGGCCATCCTTCTGTCTTCTTTCGAAAAGTATATATTTAGGTCTGTTGCCCACTTTTTGATTGGGTTGTTTATCTTCCTTTTGTTAAGTTGTATGAGTTCCCTGTAAATGTTGGAGTTTAAACCCTTATCGGTGATAACATTGGCAAATATGTTCTCCCATGCAGTGGGCTTTCTTGTTGTTTTGTTAATGGTTTCTTTTCCTCTGCAGAAGCTTTTTATTTTGATGTAATCCCATTTGTTTATTTTCTCTTTACTTTCCATGGCCCTAGGAGCTGTATCGGTGAAGATATTGCTTCGGCATAGGTCTGAGATTTTGCTGCCTGTGGATTCCTCTAGTATTTTTATGGTTTCGCATCTTATGTTTAAGTCCTTTATCCATTTTGAGCTTATTTTTGTGTATGGTATAAGTTGGTGGTCTAGTTTCACTGTTTTGCATGTATCTGTCCAATTTTCCCAACACCATTTCTTGAAGAGACTGTCTTCACTCCATTGTATGTTCTTGCCTCCTTTGTTAAATATTAATTGAGCATAATGGTTTGGGTCAATTTCTGGGTTCTCTATTCTATTCCATTGGTCTATATGTCTGTTCTTGTGCCATACCAGGCAGTTTTGAGAACAGTGGCTTTGTAATACAGCTTGATGTCTGGTACTGAAATCCCATCTACTTTGTTCTTCTTTCTCAGGATTGCTGCAGCTATTCAGGGTTGTTGTTTTATTCCAGATGAATTTTTGGAGAGTTCCTTCTAGGTCTGTGAAATATGCCATTGGTATTTTATGCCATAGGTATTTAATTCCTAGGTATCTTAATTTTTCTGGTGTGATGGTAAACAGGATTGCTTTTTTAGTCTCTCTTTCTGTAAGTTCACTACTGGTGTATAGAAATGCCATAGATTTCTTGGCATTAATTTTGTATCCTGCTACATTGCCAATTTCATTTACTAAGTCTAATAATTTTTTATGGAGTCTTTAGGGTTTTCTATGTACAGTATCATGTCATCTGCGAATGACAGTTTTACTTCTTCTTTTCCAATTCTTTTATTTCTTCTTCCTGTTTGAT